ACGGTAGCCCATGGCAATCCACTGCCACAGGGACCGCAGCCCACGCTGTCGCCAGCGACTCATGGCAGCCCAGCTCCAGGTTGAGCTGCCGTTCAGCATCTTAGCTGTGGAGGGCAGTGTCACTGGTCCTCACATGCGGGATCCGAACCGGGGCCCTCTGGCATCCCAAGCGAGTTCCCAACCATCGCGCCACTCGGCCGGCCCACCATTTCATTTTTGAGTGATTGTAAATGGTATTGTTTTTTTAATGTTGATGCCAATGCCTATGTGCTCAGTAATACATAGAAATACAATTGATTTTTGTATATTTATCTTATATCCTGTGACCTTGCTGAATTTACTTATTACTTCCTGGGATTTTACACATAGATAATCATGTCATCTTCAAATAGGAACAGTTTTATTTTTTTCTTTCCAATTTGTTTATATACCTCTTATTTTCTTATTGCACTGGCTTCGACTTCCACATCATTTTGAATAAGAGTGGTGAGAGCGTAATCGTTGCCTTGTTTCCCAATCTGAATGGAGAAAGCATTCAGTCTTTCACTCTTAAGTATAACGTTAGCTATAGGTGTTTTGCAGATGCACTTCACTAAGTTAAGGAAATTCCCCTCTATTTCTATTTTTCTGAGAATTTTTATTACGATTGAGTGTTGAATTTTGTCAAATATATTTTCTGCATCAATTGATCTAATCATGCGATTTTCTTCTTTAGCCTGTTGATATGGAGGGTTATACTGACTGATTTTCAAATGTTTAACCAGCCTTACATACCTGGAATCAACTTCACTTGGTCATGGTGTATAGTTATATTTATATATTGCTGAATTCTATTTGCTAATACTTTGTTAAGGATTATTGCATTTATTTCAGGAAAAATATTCATTTGTAGGGATTTTTTGTTTTTTTGGTTTTTGTGCATTTATGTGCATGCATGTATGTTTCCACTATCTTTGTCTGATTTTGATATCAGAGTCATACTAACTTTATAAATAAATTTGGAAGAAGTCTCTCCTATTTTCTGGAAAATAGTATGTAAAATTGGTGTTAATTATGCTTTAAATATTTGGTAGAATTCTATAGTGAAACCATCTAAACCTGGAGATTTCATTTTTGAGTGTTTTAAAATAATGAATTCAATTTCCTAATAGTTATAGAGCTATTCAAGTAACCTGTTTCATAATGGGTAAATTGTGGTAGTTTGCGTTTTAAAAGAATTGGTCCATTTCATCTAAGTTGCCAAATTTATGTGGGGGGAATTATTCATTTCCTTATTATTCTTTTTATGTCTGCAAGGTCTGTGCTGATATCCCATTTCATTTCTAATATTGGTAATCTTGTCTTTGCGCACTCTCTCTCTCTCTCTCTTTCTCTTTCTCTCTCTCTCTCTCTTTCTCTGAGTCTTGCTAGAGGTATTAATTTCATTGATATTTTCAAAGAACTATTACCTTATTTCATTGATTTTCTGGGTTTTTTTTGTTTTGTTTTCAACCATTGGTTTTTGCTGTTTTATTATTTTCTTCCTTCTGATTGCCTTGGGTTTATTTTGCTCGTCTTGAACTAGAACCTTAGATTAATGATTTGAGAATTTTCCTTATTTGAGAGTTTTCCTTTTTTATAGTGTGTATGCTTATTACTAAAAAGTTTACTCTCAACACTGGTTTAGGTGTATCCCACAACTTTTTGTATTTTGTACTGTCTTTTTAATTTATATTTTCAAGTTTTCTTTGAGATGTCATTTTGAGTGATGGATTATTTATAAGTATGTTATTTAGTTTCCAAGTGTTTGGAGATTTTTATGTTATCTTTCTGCTATTGATTTTTACTTTCATTTCAATGTGGTCAGAAAACACATTTCTTATGATTTTAACTCAAACAAGTCTGTCGGCACCATATCGTCCCAACAGCATTTGCTCACTTCATGTCTCTGTGTCACATTTTGGTAATTCTTGCAATATTTAACACTTTTCCATTATTGTTATGTTTCTTATGGCGATCTGTGATCAGTGACCATTGATGTTACTATTTTAATTGTTTTGGGGTGCTATAAATGGTGCCCATAGAATATGTCAAAAGTTATCAATAACTGTGTGTGTTCTGACTGTTCCACTGACCAGTCGTTCCCTCACCTTTCTCCTTCTCCTCAGGCTTCCCTCTCCCCTGAGACACAACAATATTGAAATTAGGCCAATTAATAACTCTACAGTGGCCTCTCAGGGTTCAAGTGAAGGGAAGAGTTCTACATCTCTAGCTTTAAATCAGAACCTAGAGATTATTAATTTTAGTGAGGAAGGCATGTGGAAAGCTGAGATAAACTGAAAGCTAGGCCTCTTGCACCAGTTAGCTAAGTTGTGAATGCAAAGTACTACTACTTTGTACTAAAGTACTACTACTAGTACTTTGTACTTAAGTACTACTCCACTGAACACACGATATGCTGATATGGAGAGGATTTTTAGTGGTCTGGAGAGAAAATCAAACCAGCCTCAACATTCCTTTAAGCCAAAGTCTAATCCAGAGCAAGGCCCTAACTCTCCTCACTTTAATGAAGGCTGAGAGAGGTGAGAAAGCTGCAGAAAAAACGTTTGAAGCTAGCAGAGGTTAGTTTATGAGGCTTCAGGGAAGAAGCCGTCTCCAAAGCATGAAAGGTATAAAAAGCAGCATGTGCTGATGTAGAAGCTGCAGCAAGTTTTCCAGAAGCTCTATCTAAGTAATGATGGTGGCTACACTAAACAACAGATTCCCAATATAGCTAAAACAATCTTATATTGGAAAAAGATGCCAATATAATAGAAACGATAGACAGAGAGAAGAGGTCAGTGCCTAGCTTCAAAGCTTTCAAGGACATCTCTTGTTAGAGAAAAATGTAACTGGTGAGTTTACGTTGAAGCTAATACTCATTTACCATTCCCAAAATCCTAAGGCTCTTAAGAATTATGCTAAATCTGCTCTGCCTATGCTATATAAATGGAACAACAAAGCCTGGATGACAGCACATCTGTTTACAACATGGTTTACTGAATATTTTAATCTCACTGTTGCGATGAGACCACTGCTCAGAGGAGATTCCTTTCAAAATATTACCGCTCATTGACAATGCACCTGGTCACCCCAGACCTCTGATGGAGATGTATAAGATTAATGTTTTCATACCTGCTAATACAACATTCACTGTGCAGTCCATTAATCAAGTAGCAATTTTGACTTTCTAATCTTACTATTGAAGAATTACATTTTGTAAGGTGATAGATAGCATAGGGAGTGATTTCTT